ATACATCACTATAAATAATATCTTTAAACTCTGTACATTTTTCCTGTTCATTTACTGAATGGTAGGCATTACTCACATTAGCTACACAACTATACTTAGGTTTCACTTCAAAAACGTCTATTTCACAACTATTTAACCCATTGTCAAATCATAACCCCTTCGGCCCTCGCGACCGGTACTTTACGAGACAAAATAACAATCAAATAATCAATCATAATCAATCAAATTTACTATACAACACTGGACGTACGACTTCCTATCACCTTTTTCAACCACTTAACTTACGGACCTTTTAACCACTTGACTTACGGACCTTACTACAACCACATTACTTCAATGGCTACAAATATCCTCATGAAACAACAACGTAGGTACCACGACCTCAATAACAACAATACTATCACCAGTATTACAACTTTAACCCACATACCTCATTTTACCGGCTTTACCCTAGCCAAAAACACTTATTACTCATATTTCTCATTTTACCGGCTTTACCCTAGCCAAAAACACAACTTCCGTACTCGCCCGGGCCACGATGTCTTCGACTAGGAAAACGTTCCATAACCTACGAACATACAGGTGCAATTTCACGTCTCTACCCCTAATTTCCGATCTCCCTCCGGTTCCAGAACTGAGTCGTCACCCAGCTCCTTCCCCCCTTGATTTCCCCCGGATTGGCCTATTTCCGGCAGATTTAGGTTTACAGATTTAGTCTTCTAGACGACAACAGACATCGAAAACTGAGTACATTTAACCGCCTCGACATCTCGAAGCGAGCCCTCCCACGGACTCATAATTTACCACGGCTTCGACCTCTCGACCCGTGTCCATCCCCAAGGATGCCTTCATAAGAAAACCCAGTAAGGTCCGCAACATAAAACCGCAACTCGTATAACTTACGTTGCACGATTACTTCCATATTCGCCTCCCCGAATATTTTTAATCGTTCACCTGTTATTCCCGCTGCTCTCATATCTGTCTTAACCAATTTCCCTTGGAAGACCCCTTTATGAATCAGCGAGATTTTTGCCCCAGAATCCACAAGAAATTTACACGCCCTACCATTCACTTCAATCCACATAGTTAAATCATTTCTACCATCTATTTTTACACTTGGGATTACTTCTGGTGCCACTTCCTTGCTGAATACGCTCAATCCAACAACCGGTTCTATTTCTCTGCTGGATGCGCGAAGTTTAATTACCAATTCCGAACCACTACCCTACAGTTCCTCTGCAGGTGTCCTAGCTCACCGTACCCACAACAAATTATCCTTGATACTTAACCAAACGATCTATATTTGCCGTCCCCAGGGATTTTCGTTATTAAATGGAACATAGCGTTGCATGTCCCGAACGCTTCTGCCACGCCCTCTGTAAGGGACACCTCGGCTTCGCGAGCTGCCTCCCAATGCCGCCACGTTTATATGACCTGATCAAATTACCCCGCGATCAATTCCGGCATATTGGCTACTATTAAGGACGTTCCAAAAATTTCTACTGGTAAATTTCCCATCCCCAATACAACAAAAACAAACTATCAATGTGGGTCCCACTTTTACATTTCAATTAACAATTACTATTACTTAATCACAATAAAATACCCACGTATCAAACAAAACAACAACTTAACATCAAAATAGTACCAAACCATTCCGATTAACCCCAAAAATCACTATGCCAATTAATATTCCCAAAAAAATATCCCTCTAACCAGGACCAAACTCTCACTGCAAATTCAATTCAATACAATCATAAAATGTATTTAGCAATAATATTACAAGGGTTATTAAATATTACCTAATTAATTTAAAACAACATTTGTCAAGTCAATTTGTTTAATTTACTCAATTACTAAAAACATTTTCCAATCAACAACGCAATTTTACAAATTACTTAAAACAACCATTTTATTTACTTAAAAAAAAGTATCAATAATATATATTTTATTTTTCCTTTAATTTCAAAACAAAATTAACTTCTTATAAAAAATTTACTCTGTCCCACTATGTTTAGCTATCCCCTGGAGCTGTGCCAAACGGCCTCTGATATTCCAACACCGAGGGCACGCTAATTTTAGTGAATTTATTGCCCAACATTAAGCCCACAATTTTAGATTCCGGCCCAACACTACCAATATAACACCAATAGCACCAAAATATCGCCAAGATCATCACCAGGCAAATTTTAAAAATCCCCTATCGTCGACATACATACTGACACATACATAACCCATCACTAACGTTCCCACAATAGAATGCTAGCATAATTAGTGCGTACCTGTACCGCACGAATACCCACACCCGGAGTGCCACTACAAACCCTTATAATCCCCGGTAACACGGCTCCAATATCCCTTACCTCATCTATCACTTCTACAGACATCAATCGAAATTTCCTAAAAAAATTATGCGTCAATCTCTCGCACAAAATATATGTCTTTGAATCAGACACATAGACAGATACTAATTCGGCTATTTTATTTTCAGTAAATAGGTGACCTAGGCAATCGTAGTAAAACTGGGTACGAAAGAGATCAAATTCCCTATCTTGAATCCCAGTCATTTTCGCCTCATAATTTACATACAACCACAAACTTTAATTACCTACTTAACAACCCCCTTCTATTTAAACCCAACAAAAAAATAAAAATCCATCCCTCCATATTAACTTAAATTCCTTAAACTATAATAACATACCCCTTGAAAAAGGACATTCCCCCAAAAGAATTAAACCCACTTAAAAAAAAGAACAATCCCCCTTTAAAAAAAAAGGACACTTCTGACACCAAATGTTGTATCCGCTAGTGGGTGGGGTGTCCAGAATAAATACTCGGGCGTGATGTTAATTGGGTTCATTTATTAAGCGGATAAGCAATAAAATACAAGTTATAATATCTTACTAATTCATGACTACGCTAATATCACAGAGAATCCCCATTATTAAAAGGGTAGAATTTAGAGAGAGGGCTACCTACTACTGAACCAAGGGTCGGGCAATGTAAATCTCCTATTAGCCTATCACCACATACCTGCTAATATCAGCGGGAGAATCATGACCAGCTAGTGGCCGCGCCTAGGCTGACTCTGACTGTAAGTTGGTGGTTCACAAGGACCGACCATATCTAACCTCAAGGTGGTGGGGGTTGTGACGCAAATGCTGGTTTCCAGAATTACCTCAAACCACATTTGGTACTGGATATAATGTTGCAAAATCTCAGAGTTAAAAACTACTTTTGGCTGAGCTCCCTGCTCCAGATATAAACGGAATCAAACTGTAAACTAATAAATTAACCCATGTGGATACACAACAGTACTCTAGTCCACGTTCACCAAACAAGCTGTAGTATCAGGAGGTATTCATTCTATTAACATAACTGGAAACATCATGTTCAATATCAGGCTGGGTGTGACTACTGTGTACATCACCCTCATGATGGTGCTAAAGTACATTTGACTTGAGGTTGCCGGTTCAAAAATCAGTACCTAGTTTTTTTTTTTTTTTTTTTTCGGAAACTAGGTCCAGCTGTCCTTAACCATTGGGTTTTTGATAAATGGTCCTAGCTAAATAAACAGCTGATCTTAGTCAGTAACAGAGTAACACAGATCATCTCACTCCATCCTACTCCTAGCTTAACATAATGCACCCAGGTGTGCGTTGCTATCTCTAGTAACAATAATGATCAATTCTGTAACAAGTTTTTTTAACTAGGTATTTTAATTGTTGTTTTGGATTTTCACTTTGGTATGGTTAAAACTACTAGAGTGGCAACAAAAAAAGTTAAAGGTTAAAGAGTGTTTTGCAGCATCAGATGTGTTTAGGACGGCTTCTGTTACTGAAATACATGGCTTGTAAAAGAGGGAGTGTTACAAAATGTCCAAATGTCACAACGTCCAATGATATAAGTCAGTGTCACGACATCCATCATAATAGAATTTTTAAGCTGTCTCACGACGTCCAAGATAAAGTATTTGACAGTTACAACGTCCAAATCTCTTCATGTCCAAAAGTACATTAACTGCAAGAAACATAGTCTTTCTACAAGCTTTGGATGTCATGGGATTGGTCGTCGTGCGATAGCGCACTATCTTTATACTCTCAAATACATAGCAGTAGCACCACGTCCAAAGCCGCTGCCAGTTGCAAGACATCCATTAGCTCAGCAGTGTCGCACAACGTTCAGAGTTTCTGCATATGGAGCTAGGATGGGTTAGTTAAGCATTCACTACAGTCGGTAAAACAGTATTCACAGCGTGTAGATGCTCTGGACATCGTGGGACAGTGCTGAGCTATCGGATGTTGTGCAATTGGCAGCGTCTTTGGACGTGGTGCAACTACTATTTTTTTAGAGTGTCAAGTGCACTGTTTCACGATGACCGATCTCATGACGTCCAGAGCTTGTAGAAGGACTATGATTATTGCAGTGTACAGTAACTGTAACAGTAATTTTGGACATAATGAGATTTGGACACTGTGCAACAGTCAAATATTGTATATTGGACGTCGAGAGACAGCTCAAGAATTGTATTTTGGACGTCGTGCAATGCATCCGTAAAAGCTCCTTATTGCTCAGTGAAAATGGGATGGAGTATAGTTGGGTATAGTTAGGAATTTGAACTCTGGGAAAATTTACAATGTTTTGAAACATAGCCTCCTCTAATATACGTACGTAGTGTTTGTGTGTGGTAACGTCACCGTAGCTGGCCTATTGCCATGGCAATAACAGTAAAAACAAAAGTGTAAACACAAACATTGAAGACGCTCCATTATGCATTGGTGCAACAGCTGCTTTAGTAGGCCGGGACTGCAATGCTGCAGACCTTGTATTAGAGGAGGCCATGTTAAAATACCCAATATGTTGATGTTATATAAACCGTCATGGTTTCCAATAGCTTGGCCATGCCGAAGTAAGTTCTTATAATCCACAATTTATTTGATTTTTTTATAGGTTGACAAATTCATAATCACTGCATTATAAAATGTTCTCTTTATCTTCAGCTGTAGGGCGGAGGGAAGGTATTCACCAGGCGGTGGCACAAGACGTAGCCTCAGTGTTTAAGGGAAAGACGGCTTCACAGCTGGAAAAACTGCAGATTCAGATCGAGAGCAAAATCTCTGCCAAAACTCAAGGCGTCGACATAAGTTACTGGGAGTCACTGTTGTCCCAACTCAAAGGTATTTGCTCTTTTAATTGTACTTAAGTTGCCATGGTTACTAATCACCCAATCACAGGCTACTTAAGATGCAAAGGTTGCCCAATCACAAACTGTTGTGACAGGAAGCACAGCAGACAGATGTGTAAGTAGCAGACAATTGTCATTACAAGCAGATATCTTGACTTTGAAGATATCAATATTCTTTGTCTTGCTTAAATTAAATTTTTGCCAAATGAACTGTAATGTTTTAAAAGCAATAACACGGGAGCCTACTGCAAATAAATAATTGGCCGAATAGTTTAATATACAATGAATTCCAACACATTACTCTAAAGATACATAGTTTCTCTGAATTTTCTTGGTCAATGAGGAACCTAATTTGAGAGGTATCTATTGAACACGGTTAACTTGCCGAGTTAGTAATTTTATACTGGCTGGCATTGATATTGTGACTGTTTGCACTTTGCAGCCCACATGGCTAGAGCTAGACTGAGAGACAGACATCAAGACAACCTCCGCCGCAAGTTGGAGGTGCTGAAGGCTCAGCAGGGGATGGAGGGCGAAGGGGAAGTGGAGGAAGAGAAGGGGGAAAGGGAGGAGGGAGCAGAGGAACCAGTCCCATCTACATCTCAGGAGGGGAAAGCAGAAAGCGAGGGTGAAGAAGAGTAAGTAAATCCTTTTAACTTCATTTCTACACGGTGTTCAAAAAAGGTGGGACATAATTTACATACTGATTCCTTGGGTCAAAATAAAGAGAAAATCAAGAAAAACATTTTTCCCAAAATCTCTTTGTTAACCAGATATCCGCCATTTTGTATTTTTTACATTAATATTTTTATCTTTGAATTTTTTCGACCGATCTTTATGAAACTTGGTATGTATGTTAAGGTAGGAAAGACCCATCTTAGAAAAAAAAATATCTTGATTAAACCTAAAATTTCAAAATGGTGGTCATTTTAATTGTTTAAACTCAAATTACTCAAAAATGGCTGATTTTATGAAACAATGTCAACAACACTTTTATTTAGGATTTTTAATTTTCTATCAAACGATGCCAAGATCAAAAAGATCGAATAAGAAATAGCTGAAATATTACGATTTTTAGTTGTAAAATGATTGGTTAAATAAATTCAAAGATAAAAATGTTAATTAACAAATACAAAATAGCGGATATCTGATTAACAAAGCGATTTTAGAAAAAATTGTATTCTTGATTTTCTCTTTATTTTGACCCAAGGAATCAGTGCGTAAATTATGTCCCCACCTTTTTTGAACACCCTGTATATTCCACTGCTGTCATTGATACTCGTCCATTCACAATTTATTACTAAGATGTAAGGATTACAGTAGTAAGGAGATATGCAGGTGTTAAGAGTTGATGATCTTTCATCTCAAGAACTTTATGCTTAATCAGAAAGTGCAGATGCCTAACACTAATGAAAAAGCTATCTTCATAGTATAACTAAATGTTTATCTCTTTTCAACAAATTTCTACTTGACTCTAGTATATTATTTCTTATTCTCCTCTGGCACAACTACAGTGAAGAAAAAGATTAATACTGTACAGTTTGAAAAATCTGGAAAATATAGGCTATTTTGTACCAACAACGACGAATGTAACGACAAATTGCCCTTAAATTTAATATACAGTATTTGTCCATAAATTGTTTATCAAGAATGTAGTAGACTGTAGACACCCTGCAACTCTTTGAAAATCATCTGTATATTAACAATTATTGGTTTTTCTTTTCCGAGCCGGCTCAAATCTTCCACCCGACCGATTTTCATCATTTTGATCTTAAATTAAACGTATGCACACACAGATTTGCCATCAAGCATCGTCATTCAACTCTGAAAATCATATTTATTACTTTGTTTTGTTTCAGTTGGTAATTATTTATTTCATTTTATTTTGTGTGCATGATGATAACTTTTAAGTTCATTGCATAGTCAATGGTTCATTCTTATGTTTTACTATGTGTTGCAGGATTGACGAGGAGCAGGTAGCCAACACCATGTTGACTGAGAGTTTTGCAGACTATGACTCGGGCCAGTACAGTCCACAGTATGTCAGTGCTACTCAGCTGGAGCCCGGCACTATAGTGACCAGTGAGGAAGATGATGCTAGGAGGATAGCATTTGCCAGGTTGCAAGTGCAGGGTACTGGCCGGCCTGCACAGGTACACACTTTTTTTTATTCTTTTTCTAATATGTGTTCAAAAACACCATTAACACCTTAATAATGTTTGTTTTTTATTTATTTATTTTTTTTTTTTTTGGGGGGGGGGGAATTTTTTGCAAGGGATCAGTGCAAACTCTTTTAGTGGTCGTTTTGTTACCAATATAAATCTTTTTTATTATTATTTTAATTGATAGGCCAGACATTTTCATTAAATACTATACAAAGTAGGCTGAACCACTAGAACTGACATTTTCCATCGATTCTCTTTTTATGCTGAAAATCAGTAAAAACAACTGACCTAAAAAAACGACCCATCCCAGCTTAAATTAAACTACCCTTTAATTTTTACCAGTGTGTTTTCCTTTAATATAAATTTTTCTTTGTCCAACATTTTTTCCTCTTTCACTGATGGTCACTTATGATATTACAGACAAGGACGTCGCTGGAAGAGGAAGTTCTGCGTAGAGAGGCTCGGAAGGGGATGACCAATGATGAGGCAGAGTTCTCCGTTGAGTCCGCTCTGGACAGTCAGGTGTATCTGTGGTCTGACAAGTATAGGCCTCGCAAGCCCAGATACTTCAACAGGTGTGTGTAAAACTTTGTTTAAAGTGTTGGTATTTACAAATTATTATACGCTCAACAACTGTACTCACAATATTAAGCTTAGAATGTTTTGTGAGAGGTGTGTGAGCGGCTTGATTTTCCAGTTGAGCCAAGCCTAGCCTACAAGGTTGAGAGATCGATTGGTTAGTCAGGAAATCAAGCTTAAGGTGAGCTTTGCACAATCACCATAGCAGAATGATTTGCAAAGATCACTCAATCAATAACTTCACGCTGTCACCGCAATCTCGTATAATGGCAATAAGGTTTCCGTGATTGCTGGAGATGATGACAATGTCTCCACGACCAGAGGAAATGTCAACATTCTAAGAACGCGTGGAAACAGGGTTCCTACTCTACTATTTCGAAACCTTTTAATCTATTAATAGGCAACTCTTATTTTCCAATTTTGTTCTTATTCTCTTGTTTTTCCTTAGACAATTGTGAGTGTTACCCCACTGAACAATTGACTAAACTGAAGACAACGTATAATTTGTCGCGATCGAGGAAAACTATGATGATATCTTCTCAACTGTGTTCAAGATTTACCCGCAATTGCAAAATACGAAGGTGTCTCCATTGCCACAGGAGATACTTAAGATTTTGCCACGATCGCAGAAGACTATGATACCTTTTCTGTGACCGCTGCAGATTTGCAGAATGTTGCCATAATCGCAAAAAACTATGACTTCATGCAAAATTATGAATTCATGACTTGCAGGAGGTGTTCAGAATTTGGCCACGGTTGAGGAAAACTTTGATTATGTCTACACAACCATGAGATATGTTCACAATTTAGCTGCAATCACGGAAGACCATGATGATATTTCCATAATCGCAGAAGATATTCAAGATTTTGGCGTGATTGCAGAAGAGATAATGTTTACAAGACTGCGGAGGGATAAACAGATTTTTTCACAGTTGCAACAATATTTAATTATCACGATATTAAATTGATATATGAACTTTAAACCTAATTTATGATAACTAACATTACATTTTGAAATGAATATTAGTGACGGATTAATGCATTAATTGGCATATCAAAATTCATCATAGAAAACAGTTCAGCTCGACTAAAAATCTCAGGCTCGCACATCTCTAATTTACACATACTGTTTATTATTTTCATAAATAATTACGAAGTTTTTAATTGAAACGTCTTTTTGTTGGCATTTTGATGATCTCAGTGTTCTTTAATATTTCCAAAGATGTGACAATTTTTACTATGTGTATCTTTATACCTAGCTCTGGTAATGAAAGTAATTTCCCAAAAACCTTGAGCAACCAATTTGTAATTGAGCAAGAATACCATTTCATGCTATCTATTTTTAAAGGAACCTGATGATGACCAGTGTGAACAGTCAAAACTGATCACCATTGTGATATATTTAATGTGTATTATTTATCGTCTTGTTTATGTTTACAGTATGGTTGTAGCCGTGAGTGTTTGACAAGGTATTTGCCTGTATTCGTATTGTATAATGAAGAGGAAGACTGTTAGTAGTGTATGGTGATTAATTTGAAAATCACAATTCCAGGGTTCACACAGGATTTGAGTGGAACAAATACAACCAAACTCACTATGACATGGACAACCCTCCGCCCAAGATTGTGCAAGGGTACAAGTTCAACATCTTTTACCCTGACCTCATCGACAAGAATGCCACGCCCGAGTACTTCTTGGTGAGTAACTTCATCATATTCAAACATGAAAGCTTTAGGACTGGAATGACAGAATTGAACTAATTTACAGTGCAACTTGAATTGTGCAAGTAAATAAATAAATTCAACCTGAATAATAAAGTTAATTTCAATTGTTGGTAATTTTCCTTGCGTATTTTAATATGTGCTAATTGTGTCCATCATTAGGCGAGTATATTGTTTGGTTTCGTTTCGTTTGTAATGTAATGTCAAAACACGCATCATGAAATTTTGTTTAAGACTACTATTTGTTTATTTTAAATCACTTTTCCTGAAAAATCTTATCCATACGGATTTTTGACTAGGTATTAGGATTGAGTACAGTCTCACCCAAAATAATCCAGATAATTGGAGCTTTGATGAATTTTAAGTTGTGATTCGATTTGATTAGTACTTGATTGATTCAGGGTTGTTCAAGGAAAGGCTCTAATCAATGCATCAAGGGATAAGAGATAGCTGTGTAGATAAGATTGGTTGGTCAGGTTGGCCAGAGAACTCACAATAATACATCCCCTGGTGGACTTACCCAAAAAGACAATATTTCACAATAGTTCCCATGGGTCTTCATTTTGTGTTTTCTGTGTGTACTATGTCCTGCCTATTTATTATAGTACAGTGTAGTCCTGATGATCCAAACTTCGGTAATCCAAAAGTCCGCTTAATCCCAAAAAAAATTTTATAATTAACTTTAAAATTTAAAAAAAATTTAAATTTAAATTTTTAAATATTTTTTATTAAATTTTTTTTTAAACCAGTACATGCTGTCACTTATCGGGGGAAGTTGAAACTACTAGCGTGACGACATAATGCAGTTTATTGTAGACACAAAAAGTGATGACCCAGTACGTGCTGTCACCCATTGGGAAAAGCCGAAACTGTGTATAACGACAGTTAGCTGTACCTCGTCGAAGTATTCTGTAGTGGCCGGGCGAGATAAACTTGTTGTATTCGAGTATTTTACTAAATACTTCAAAATTTTTTTAGTAAACATGTTTCATTATTGTCCCCTCAAGGGTCCCCAAAGGGTTCCAATCCCGCCAAATCACCAATGGATTTTATTTAAGTGATAATGCTGCAACCCCTAGGTCTAGCCTAAAGTACTGTGAAAAACAATCCCGTGCTTGTGCTTAGGGTCCTAGGACAAATAAATTTTAATTTTAAAATAATAAAAAAATTAAAAACCAAAAAAGACTTTTAATCCGAAATATTCGGTAATCCAAAATGGGTCCAGTCCCAACCATTTCGGACTCTACTGTAATATTATTAGCTTAACCCTGCGAGTGTCCCTTGTTTTGGCCTTAATGTCTGCCTATTTTTTGCTCATTTGCAAGGTTTTATTAAAACGGATCTGAGAAGCTTGAAAACAATGTTAATTATACTGTTCTATATACCATTTTGTTTGGAAAATCATGGGCTTCAATATTATACATAAAACATAAGGAACATTTGTTTCAAAAAAAATTTTTAGGTAAAAAAAAATATTTTTGAAAATTTTCTAAAAAAATAAGTTCACACTCAATGAAGTTGTATAAATTATAGGCCTATAAATATTTGAAAATAGCCTCTTTGTTCTAAATTTTATGATGATTACAAATATAAAATAATATAAGGAAGTAGATTTGCAAATAAATAAGTTATGGGCAAAAAACAGATTTCAGTACATAGCGTTTAGCTAAGAATGCATAGCCTAACCATAGCTAGGAATCTGGCTGATAATTTACATCAATATCACTACCTACTTCTTCAGGATCATCAACCAGCCCTTCAAAATCACTTAAATCTTCTTATAATGCACCACGTATATCGTATATCACTACTTTTGATTTTTAACACTAAAACAATGATAAACGTAATAAAACACATCAGTCATCGGTCCGAGGTTAACCAAGCTGTTTACAAATACGCACGTCAGCTGTCTGCTACAATATTTTCGGAACTAAAATGAAAAGCGCTTAGAGACAGACCTTCGGAGAAAGCTCTGAATCTGTCAAATAAAACGATACCTAACTCGATCCAGTTCAATCCGATTTTGTCAGTCATAGAGCCTTCGCCGTAAACAGTGTTTGTGAGTCGATGCGTCGACACAAAACACTACACAAAGTGTGTTATGTGTCGATGCAGCGACAAATAACACTCGGAGGGTTAACTAGATTTTTTTTTCAGTTTCTAAACTTATAACATTGGTTTCAGACCCCATGTCCAGAGAACCACGACTTTGCCATTTTACGATTCCACGCTGGGCCACCTTACGAAGACATTGCATTCAAGATTGTGAACAGAGAGTGGGAATACTCTTACAAAAGAGGATTCAGATGTCAATTTCACAACAACATTTTTCAATTGTGGTTCCACTTCAAGCGTTATAGATATCGTAGATAAATTTGTATGTGTAAGATACTAACTTTATGTAAATATATTTTTATATTTATTATCTTTGTTATTCAATGATTACAGATCCCAAGTTGGTTGTTGTCAACTTTTGCTTGTTTTTGGTGAAATAACATATGACACAACAGATGAATTCATTTTAATAATTGAAAGTGACTTCTTCATAATCATTTAATGTTAATGACTAAGCTCAAGTATTTTATTTATTACAAGTTCAATAATTTAATTTTATCAATGATAGCCCTTCAATTGTTATAAATATCTATTTTCATCAGTAAAAAAGGTTAAAAAACTGCCCTTTAATCGTTTAAATTTTGATTCAAATCTTTTCAATTAAAATAGTATATTTCATCATATTTCAACATTATGTAAATATTTTTGAGTATTGAGATATGATTTTGGCCCAAGAGGTTACAATTAAGGGAGATTACATGGACTATTTACAAGCAAATATATTTGAAAAATTCAAAAATTCATTAAAGGATACGTAGAAATGTGTGATTTTTACTTAAACTTATGCAAAAAAATTTCAGGGGGCCGGAGAACCCCCTGGTAATTCCGGCTCCACTGTCGCCCAGTGGAAATCCCTTAATAATTCTATGGTACAAGTTGGCTCCCAAAGTGACACATCTTGGTTGCAGCTGTACTACTATAAACAAACAGCTGTTCATGGAATGATGGAATGTTGATGTTATTCATTGAGCCATATGTTGAGCAAGTACAAATAAAGATGTAGGTATTGAATTCAATTTGCTGAGGTACGGGTATTCAATTAAGACTGACTAACTATCAATACTTCAAACACTTTTGAACTATCAATTGCAATAAGGAATATTTTTTAGATATTATTTATTTCAAACGTTAATTTTCAAGCAACAAGTGAATTCAATGACATTTATATAATGTTTTAATTTTAACTTTAAATGGACTTAACTCCATGTGAGTGAGAATACATTGGGAAAACAAAAAGACCTTTGAAAATAAAATACACATCAGTGAATATAAAATAAACACTAAATTACCAATAATGGGGAAATAGTAAATTCTAAACTTGCAAAACATGCTCGCTACAATAATCATAAATTCTACTGGGATCAGGCAAAAATATTACTCAATAAAGAACACTACACTCATTACAAAAGAACGTTTGTAGAAGGGGCGTTAAAAAGATAAGGGGTGTTAATTAAACTACATAATACTATCATTCAATAAACCAAAGCAGTATTAAAGTCAAGCCACAATGAGTAGGCCTAATATCAGTAAGAAAAGGAAAAATCATTTCATTTCAAAGAAACTACAATGTTTAATCTATGCTACAATACAACCCCCACCCCCTTGTCTTAACCTGTTAGTGACTCTTGCACCAGTGGAGGAAAAAAGAGGAAATAGCCGTCTGCTAGGTGAACTCACAGGTCTTCCAGAACGACGCATTTTCTGCACCTGTCCTGTACCGGTACACCAGTTAGTGCTGGCTGTCAGCTATCCCATAGGTATTGATTGTAACATGTTTGTGCTCGGAGGTTACATGCACATTCAAGCCATAGTCATATTCCTGTGAGTTCCCATGGAGGCGGGTCTGAACCTGCAGCCGACTTGTGCCCTTAATTGAGAGAAAGTCCCCCCCCCATGTCCTCGATCGCGAACTCCCAGCAACGGCAGCAACCCCTCGTACTAATTTGTTTGATTAGTGTGGCGTGTTTGAGTGGTAGTGCCCACAATTATGTTGTAGTTTTTTCAAGACTAGCTTGTAGGCTTCGGTCTAAAGTAATTCCAACCTTTTTATTTCCAATGCTCCTTTCTCCTCATCCGGTTACTTTACAGTGGAATTTGCAAAAATGGGCTGCTATTGTGGTAATTAAATCATGATACAGGTTAAATGTGACCTTTTAGATAACTATTAAGATGACGACAATATTTTTGATCTAAGATACAAGCTGTTTAGTTTTTACCCTCAACTCTATTACAGAACAATACTCTTAAAATCCTCTTAATATTCTGTGTTAGATTTCATTAAAACATACAAAACAGTAACCACTTGAAATGGTTAAATCACTGACAGTGATACATGTGTAGTTATCGATAGCTATCTTGAATCACACTCGTCAAAAACATCTTTATCTCTTATCTTTTCCTTGCAGTGAAATTAAATGTTTTCCTACAGTCACCTAACAATGTACATGTTCTCTCACTGATTTGAGAAAGCAAAGTGGCCAATTCGCTCATCAGTGAGACAATGTTAACATTGTCTCACTCACTCCAGATTTGCAACGTGAAAGCACGAAATAGTGAGCGCGTAACATGCAGACAAGGTTGTATGCGCGCGAAATACGTTGGCAGCACTGGCTGTAAATCAGCTGGTCAGCTGTTGTACTTTTGTTTCAGTAAATGTAATATTAAAAGTTCACTTCTGTGTAAAAATATGTCACGTTTCTTTACCAATTTATTTGTTTTATGGTAACTGTAGGAAAAATATAATGTGCAACTCAAGTGCAAAGTGCAACTGCCTCACTAGAGAAACCATTCCTCACTCGCCAACGGCTCGTGAGGAAGTATTTCTCTCGAGTGAGTCAATTGCTCCCTTTGCTCACTAGTTGCACAAATAACTATTTTTATGGATTAGTTTAGTTTTATACTAAGTTATCAATTTTCAATCTGCAACTTCCATTCCACGTTATCAAATTAAAATCTAGTTCTAAACAATGCAACCATGTGCTACAATATTGATAATAGCAATCGGTTAACTTTACACATAACAGGTAGGAGCCTGCAATCATTAGAATGTATCCGCCACTCTATGTAGACACTGTACATGCTGAAGATTGTGGATTGTATCATGTTGCTTGTGGAGCTAATCTACATCTAAAAATAATGGTTAAAGAACAACTAAACCAAGGTCATCTGGCTAAAGACGTTAGAGTGTTTACAAGAAACTTAGTATGGGAAGAGTTTCTTATTTAACATTTTAAAAGTAAGATGAACATTTTTAACTGCTCTGTCAGTCAGTATTCTAAGCCTAATTAACTGGAAACAACTAGTTTGTAATAAATTTGTCTACTGCTAAGTTGACATATTTTTCAAATTCAGGAGGATGAACAAAATTATCAGTTATCTAAAAACTTTTAATAGGCCTTAACTTTTAGCAAAACTGTACATATCAGGAAAATTGTTTACAACCCTCATTTCTAAGGGATCAAAGTTCATCAGCTATAGGTCGAGGTTTGGTTGAAATCTCGTCAGAAACTTTCTTCATCATTTTAACAATACTCTCTGCATCAGGATAGAAGTACTTGTACTGAGGGTTTCCATTTTCATTGTAAAACTCTGTCTGAACATCTCCTTCGGAATCTGAAATAAAGCAATAGTTTAAACTTAAGTGTTAATCAAAGGTCAATGTCCAATGTTGAAGGTTTTTAAGAGATTACTAAGTCATTATACTGGTCAATGCGTTGCTGAAATTTAAATCTTCAGGGTGAGCTGCAATTAAAAGATAGATTTCTGCCTCACAAACTAAATGTCGGCCAGTTTAGAGGGTCCTAATAAGTTTTTCTGGGGGTAATAAGAAATTATTTATTATTGACGATGAAACATCCAAAATCAAAATGAAACTGGTGATAGCAAAGCCATACTAAGGTACCAAGTAATTGAGCGGGAGAATCTGTTTGTTTTGATCAGTGATGTAGTAAAGCAGAAACATGTGGAAACGGCAGTCACATTCTATTTTTTCTAGAATCTTATCTGTTATTTTTTGGTAATGGTGAGCGTTTTCACTCTGGCAAATTTACAACTATACCACTGGTTTACAATTAGCAAAACTGGTGAATGTGCTGAATCATTGGTACCTACGATACTGCAATTTTTGTATCCCAAAATCAAACAAGCTTTTACAACATCAAAATAAAACTTACTTAAAAATAAAATCCTAGGAATATATCCACCGTCAGGAGAATAAGATTTTCCTTTAGGTTCTTCATTATCTTCCACATTAACCATTATAAAATGTTTGCTGAGTTCTTCAATTTCTTTAGATTCAGCAAATTTTGGTTTCAAAGCTGAAGCAAAAGAAGCAAAACAATTCAATTTTACCTGAAGTCAAAATATGCTTCAGAATCTTGTATGTAACTTACCTACATTACCTCATCATATTTTATATGGAGCTGTTGTTCTCAAATAGGCTAACTTTAAATTTGAGACTTGTGTTTTTGGAACCCACAAGCCACAAACCAAGAAAATGTACAAATTGATAGAAAAGTGGCTCAAGCTATTCTTAATTTGTACAAAGGAATGGAAAACATGCTTACTAAACAGATAATATCTTGTGGATCAAGTTAAAATATCATATTACCATTGATTACTTATAGTGCCTTGCACCTTATGGAATGAATTAATACCTCTGGAAAAACATACAATTGCAATAGCCTATCTAAGTTACTCACATTTGCAAGCACCACACCAGGTTTTGTGAATAATCAACATAATTGGTAGATTATTGTTCTTAGCTTCATTCAAGGCATCGTCCAAGTTGTGCCATGGAATGTGATCTCCAAAACCTGCAACAAGTGTCAAGAATCTTCATCCATGTTAATTTCAGTTTTTACCTGATAATTCAAGCAAGGAAAACTATTAAGTTAGCTGGAGCTTGCAGGGTAAAATATCATTCCTAGAGACAAGGGTGAACAGAGCGTATATGAACTGAGAGAAAAGGTCCAGCGAAGTATTATAAAGTATTAGGTATAAAGTTGTTACCTCTGTATGAACCTTTGACGGTAGGTGTAAGTTATGGCTCTAGAGAGTGGGACCCTTTGACAGGGATTTCGCCCTTTTCCCGGGTATTTCTCCTATTTTGTCGGTAAGGCAGTACAAGCACATGTATACCCCCTATTATTGGGGCGAGGAATTCGGTGGAACCATCACCGCCCCCCTACGACCCCCCCTTTTCTACAGAAAAGTTTTAGTTTAGTTTTGGTAGCCATGTGCAAAAACAGTCTGGAGATAATATAAAACAACAACTCGATTCATTATAACCTAAACTTTACCTTCCTAATC